TTCCGATAATTTCTCTCGTTTTCCCCTTCTCGGACTTTTACCTCTGCGGATTAGATTAAAAGCGAAGTTCCGGAGGGTATACTAATTTACAAATATACCCCTTTATTTATCGATAAACTACGAGACTGCCATTATATCTACACTTCGGTTCTTCCGTATTGAATGTACTTCGGATCTTCGGCCGAGAAACAGGGGTAGGGATCGGTCTCCTTCTCAGGTTTGCCTTTTCAGTTCCAAACCTCTGTTCGATGTTACTGTTCTCTAAATTGCTAATCGACTCTTAGTTGTGTTCCGTGATTATCTTTGTGTATTTTGTCCAAAAATAGTGTTTTTTTTCTCCTCTCCTGGCAATTCCTCGTTGAAGTAATGCTTCTGCGCCGTGAAAATTAGGGCTCTTCGTGTTGTTCGGCCGGGCGGAAAAAATGTAGTGAGGATCTTTGCTTACTGAATCCTAACCTGAGGTTCGAAAGTTTGAAAGGGAATGTTTGATTGAGTGGAGTAAACCCGTGATTCATGTGCATATGATATAAGGTTTATGGCGTCTTGCTTGCAAATTGCAAAATGACGCTAGAAATGCGCATGGGCTAGATCTAGATTCTAAGTTTTGAATAATGTACTGATTGTGTTGGTTTTATTTGATGCCAGAGATGTACAATAACGTTGGACCCTCAACCTGGGACACCGGGCTCGGGGCTTCAGGCGAATCCTCAACCGAGTCCATTTGGTAATGCATTTTATGATGCTGGCTCTGGACTTATCAGTGGCGGATTGGGAGCCTATGGGGAGAAAATTTTCGGATCAAGCTCTGAGTATGTCCAGAGCAATGTAAGTGATTCTTTTCTGGTCATTTCAGCTCTTTCTTTTGCTTATCATGTCTTGTTTTCGTAGATTTTGACTGGTTTGAGATAAACAGATAAGCCGATATACTTCTTTGACCCCCAATACTACTTCCAAGTGAATGATCACTAGGTGAGGAACAAATTGAAGGTTGTTCTTTTTCCGTTCCTACACAGGGTAAGCAAGTATCTTCTAATGTTATTGTAGTTTGGTCAGTCCATGTCATGTCATATACCTGCCAATTAACTTGTATGAATTTTGCTTCAATCTCAGGGACATTGGACCAGAATATCAGAACCTGTTGGGAGTAGGCTCTCATACAAACCTCCAATCTATGATATAAATGCGCCAGACTTGTATATTCCACTTATGGCATTTGGCACCTATGTTGTTCTTGCTGGCTTATCATTTGGACAAAGCGGGAAGTAAGTAATTCTGTGTTCTTGTCGCGTGTCTCTTTTAGCTTTTTAGTTTAACTTCTTTCGGATATCTGCCAAGTATGTGTTTCAGGATTGTTCTGTCTGTTACATAAACATTTTTCGGCTGAAGTACGATCTTTGTGGTAAAAACATGAATTCTCTAGGTTTAGCCCGGAAGCCTTGAACTGGCTGTTTGTGAAAGGATTGGTCAGCTGGCTTGTGCAAGTCATGCTGCTGAAAGTGACATTGGTGTCTCTTGGTATTGGAGAGGCACCCCTCCTGGACATTGTGGCATATGCAGGCTATGCTTTCACGGGCCTCTGTCTTGCTGTTATTGGCAAGATAATGCGCCAATACTCCTACTATGCTTTGATTCCTTGGACCTGCTTATGCACTGGCATTTTCTTAGTCAAGACAATGAAGCGGGTTCTCTTTGCGGAAGTTAGGAGTTATGAATCAAGCAGGCATCACTACCTCCTGCTATTTGTAGCTTTAGCCCAGTTCCCTCTTTTGATCTGGCTGGGTAACATTAGTGTTAATAGTCTTTTTTGAATTGCATTACTCACATCGTTCTGAGACAAACTCTGAGGTCATGTAGCAGAATTTGGAACGTCCTAGCAGTGTTGGTATGAACTATGAAGTCAATTCTTTACTGGTTCAACATGAATATACTGAAGAAACTGGCATCTTAATATGTCTCTCTTTCTTTTTCCCTTTCGGCTTTTACACTTCAATGGTTTCGCTTATACTACAACACTACCAAGATTCATTACATTGGAAACAACAACATGAACTTTACTTTGGTAATTATGCTTCTAATAAGATCTGCTTTTATTATGTCTTATGCATGTTATCTACTGAAGGGCCATCTTCATTGCAGTGCTGCACTGTGCTTTTGGCTTTTGTCCTCCTTGGCACACTGTAACATTCTTTGGGCACTCCAGGCAGTTATTTGAAAGGCTTCCTTTCATCACCCTGGAAATCTTATGGAACTGCTCTGGAATATCACCTGTCAGGTAGTTATTGTCCAGGTAAAGGCTCCGCCACGAATTCTCAAGCTTCTTTCCATAGACCTTTGGAATGTCACCGGAGAACATATTGTGCCTTAGATTGACTTCCTTTAGATTTTCGTAGGTGGCCAGGTTTACCGGCAGATGGCCCTGTAAATGGTTTCCTTCGGCATCAAGTATGCGTAGCCGTGACTCTCTGCCAGTAAACTTGAACACTTCTAGAGTTGTGAACATGTTATAAGACACATTGACATGAGTGATTTCAGGAAAGGTTAGAATTTCATGTCCAATGGTGTTTGAGAACCTGTTGTCGCTCACATCTATTGATGTGAGCTGTTTGAGCCTATGCAATGACGAAATACGTCCTTCTAGGGCATTGCGACAGACAGACAGAATTTTCAGACTTGTGGGAAGCTGAGGCAGGGTTCCATAGAGATGATTGCTACCGAGATCTAACACTTGTAGCTTCCACAAGCCATTCAATGGAGGTATTCTCCCAGTCAGATGGTTGCTTGAAAGGCTCAAGGTAGTTAAACTTCTTAGAGCAGGAATTCTTACTGGGATTGCACCGGTAAGGCTGTTTTTCGAAAGGTCTATTATCGTGAGATCCTTGAGATGTGTGATTCTCTCAGGTATATCGCCTGTGAAGTAATTTTCTGCGAGAGAGAGCCTGACAAGTTTCGTCAAGTGGAAAACAGATTCAGGTATTGGACCCCGGAACCTGTTCTTGTTCAGGCTAAGGACAGTGAGCTCTGTCAGGTTACCAGTTGAAGCAGACAGAAACCCATCATAACCAATGTCATCAAGCTCGATCTCTGTAATACGACTGGTGGTGTTATCCGATGGGAAAGAGCACATAATGCCCAAGAACGTCCCAACGGCATCACAGGGGTCCTCTGAGAAGTCCCACGTGCTCAGGTAAGAGGCCGGGGAGATGGAACTGGGATCAATGCTTCGTAGTATGGATTCAAGAACTTGAATATCTGATTGAAGCGTCACTGAGAGAGCTGGTGACGGGACAAAGGCAAGAAGAAGCAGAGAGAGAGCAATAGGCATTGCGAAAGAGAAGAGAAAGGATGATGCTTGTGCTTGTGCTTGTGGAGCCATTCGCTTTGGTCGTTTTGTGATGTGAATAGTCGAAAGGGTTTGTCCAGCGGGTCTTCCTTTTATGCAAGAAGGTCATGCCTTGTCGAACCTAATCTTGTTCTACATGTTTCCGTTACGTGTAAATGATCCGAACAGGATTTTGTTTAGAGTTTGGTTGAATTTAGGTTTTTGATCAAATGGAGACAGGGAGCTTCGAGTTTGCATGGGATCATTTTCTTATGATTTCATGCTGGTGCGTTGCTGTTGGCTGAAGAGCGATGATATTATTAGCTATCTCGTACCCACTTTTTTTTTTTTAAAAAAATTTCGTCTTATAAACGTATGTTGCATGTTTGGTAAAAGAAAAAAAGAAAAGGATATTTGTGAGATGACATGATTGCTGCGAGGGTCTATGCGTACAGGATTTGAGGTTCAAAATGTTACAAAAGAACTTAGAGCTTTGGATTTAGATTTATACGTGTAAATGGATCGCTAAACATGGATAATTGCCATGTTTTAAGTTTAACGAAGGGGGTATGTATGGTCTCATGTCCAATGGTTTATGTGTGCATTAACCAGATGGACTCCTAATAGAGAGTCGTGGCATTGGCATTTTGTTATCAAAATAAGTCCCCTTTCACTCTTCTGTCCTATTTGATAAAACTATTTTTTTTACCGTAGTTCAACCCGTAAAACGGTAACACAAAGCGTGTATCCCGCTCTGAGTTTAAGTCTCAAGACTCAAGTTAGGGAGAAAAACATAATTCCAATTACATGATTTACACCCAACCCCGAAATTAGTTTGGATTTTGGCGCAAGATATCCGGTTATCAAAAACAAAATTATTATTTTTTCTTTAAGAAAGAAGCAAACTTTATATAGTACATATAAAGCACACACTAGTACAAACCAAAATTTCAATCCATACACTTAGCTACAAAATATGTAACTACTCCACCTTTTATTACCTGCTACATCAAAAAGTGTAACTGATCCACTTTATATTTCTGATTTCTTCAACAGAAAAACTTGGATTTTAGTTTATCCCATACTCGAGTCACTTTCAACACATTTGGCATCAGAGTAATGTGACTCACATCCACTGTATGATACTTGTCCTATATTCAAGTATCCTACTCAGAGTCGTTTTAGAGGGTATGTAACTGGAGCATGCTCCCCAATTTGTCGGGGTCCACTTTTTTTTTTTATAAAAAAATATAATTTTTATAATTTAATATTTACTAAAAATTTAAATAAAATAAGAACTATAATAAATTAAAAATTTTAAAATGTTAAATTTTGGTAAATTATAATGAATATTTTATAGTGCAGCAAATGTACGATATTGAAATAAAATAAAGAAATTAGTATAAAAGATAACTGTTGTTGTTTAATTTTTAATCATTTTATTGTATTATTAGCATAAGAAATAAAGAATTTTTAAACAAAGTTTTATCAATTTTTTTTTAAATTTGGATTACTCTTTAAAAATAGGGGTAATCACCAAAAAAACCATGTACTTTTTCCAGGTCAACGAAAAAACCTTGTACTTTTTTATTACCAATTAAACCCTATACTTGGTGTGATTAATTCATAAAACATGTACTATTTAAAAATTCACCGAAAATCCCCCGCGAATGCCAACTCAAGTAAAAATGATGATATGACAATGATATGACATGAACACATCATCATAATTATACCACATCATCATTTCAAACAAAATTTAAATTAAATTATTATATATACATACAAATTCACACATACATACATACATACATACATACATACATACATACATACATACATACATACATACATACATACATACATACATACATACATACATACATACATACATACATACATACATACATACATACATACATACATACATACATACATATATATATATATATATATTAAATATAAAATTA